GTTGCTAATTATGTAACTTTTTTTTTGTATTTCTCCTGTAATTGGGTGTTACCTCTTGGGAATAAATAAATATTATCTGTAAAGATCGTTCTGCTCGAAATTCACCTTGTTTTTCTATTCATTGGTATTCTAATTCCATTGTTTCTTATAGTATTCGGCCGTACAACCTCCCTATTTAGTAGACGACATCGATATTGTATTCATTTACATTTTTTGTCGATAGTCACAAAACGGCTATAAAACCGAGGACCGGATGCATGAGGACAGAGACGGATCTGAAAATTTTCAAACATTTTCTCTTGCAAGTCTGGATGAGATGAGAGATGACTGAATCAATTTGTTAAAGTAACGTTGATTGTTATTGTAATTAATTTTCCCGACAATGGTTAAAAATGCATACTATTAACCAAAATATACGTATGTATATCTGATGGTAGCGATGTCAAAGATGTGAAGTAACTTACTTAATTTGCTATGTTGAGGAGCCTTCTTACAGAAACACGCACATCAAGATCATTCACCTAAATAAATATTTCATTTCACTTTCACACTTTACTTCTTTATCATTTAAAATATGTCCTACAACAACTTTATCCTCTTCATCCGAAGACTCGTCATTGAGATCAATAATGAATGAGTACCGCTCTGTTGCATCGCGCTGGATTCAAGTGCGCGCGGGGCTAGGCAGGAGCAGGTCTACATAGCGCAGTCACATTATGTGAATTTGTTGCTATGGCAGTATCGAAGCAGACTTCTTAGATTCGTTACATTCAAACCTATTGTATCGATTTATTAGAGCTTATTAGGTTATTGCACATTGCTTAAAGGTAAAATTTATACAGATGAACCAGACTCCATTATTTATAACGTGTTATATAATGACCGTACTATATGACGGTTCGGTAGCACAAGGAAACAGAAAGATGTAAACGAATACAATGTCGTCGTCTAGTATAACAGTTATTCCCCTACAAATAGAGCACATGCTTTTATCCTCTTTATTATATATTGAGCTGATGAAGCCAACATTCCAGTCATCAGGGATATTTTTTCGGTGTAAGCATTAAATAGTTGTGCCAACATCTCATGTAATATGTTTGGTCTATACTTTACCAACTCAATTGGGATGTCTCCAGGTCCTGCTGCTTTACCATTTTTCGATCTTTTGATAACATGCCTTATCTCTCTGATCGATACTTTATTCATTTGTGTGTATTCAGATACGTCTTCTTTTCCGATCTCTTGGAATTCACATCTATCTTTTGTCAGCAATATCTCATAGTGGTATTTCCACTGTTTCAAACCTATTAACTTTACTAAGTGTAATTCAAATTTAAATTATTTATTATCCTTTAGACATTGAGATCAGTGGTGACGCGTGACTTTTCCTAAACTGTTACCAAAACCAGATGTGAAAAATCTTATTAAAAAAAGTTTATTTTGAACCTGCCAAATATAATCTTTTGCTTATTTTAGGTATTTTATTTAAACTATGTTCAAATTAAGGTAAACATTCCTGGACTGAGCGTCTGGGGCACTGGATATACCTCATCGTCTTATGCTATGACTAATCGAAGCCGTCCGAAAAAACAGTCGACGTTTCTAGATGTTCGGAAAATTTTTGATCTTTTTGGCAATGAATGTTAACAATTCTCTGTAATTTCCTCTATTGTCAGAGTCATCCCCTTCAAAATGAACGGTAATTCATGGTTTGCCAAATAACATACGGTATCTAGGAGTGTGCTGCCTAAAGCTTGTTTAAGACATCTTCAGATTCTTGTTTTGCCAAACTGAATTAAATTGGCTACACATCTCGCATGTAACGGAGAAATTTCATGTCTGCTCCTTAGAGCCCTAAAACTATTTAAATCGTTGACTCTGCTGCTGGTCCACTCATTTTTTTCTGTATAAAACATCGCCAACAATACAATCTGTTTTTTTGCAACCACATAACCAAGAGTTTCCATGTATCAACTTAATTTAAAATATCAAAGTACGTTTTTTTTATTCCTTTTTAAAATTATCTAAAATAGGTGTTGGTCTTCCATTTTCAATGATCTCCTTTTTCTCTTAAAAATTATACAAGGAGAATGATCTTTCAAGTAGTTGATCGATTACGCAGCGACACTCATCCATGTTTAATTACATGCACACTACAGCCGGTAACCAAAACAGCTACTAACGAGTGAGAAGTGAGTAACCAAATCAAAAAATGGTAACAAGCCCACATAATAGTCGCAGCGCCCCACGCACTCGGGCGACAGCGATCGGACACGAGCCGGTTCCGACGGTCCCCGACGGACTACCAAGTGTATGCATAAATGAAAATGGTAATAACCGACAACCAAGTCGAGGCGAGTCAGCTTCGTCGTTGTTCGCAAAACCTAGACACTATAGGGCGCGTTATTTTCGTGGGGCTAATTTGCTATTTACTGAATTACTATTACATATCGCTGTTGGTAAAGAAATAAATGAAATTATTTCACAGTACTTAGTCATAAAATATTTATTTTTAAGATTTTTAACTGCTACCAATTGTAACAATGGACGCTTCGCCACTGATTGAGATGTATGTGTAGGATTCGTCAACTTTTACATCTAGCAATAAATAAAAATGTATTATAAGACAAACAAGAAACAATATAACAATTATCACCTAACAAACTCTGAGACGGCATAGTTACATTTAGATTCAAGGGATTCTTTCAACTTCGCCTTAAACTGATTGATATTAGAACATCCCTTAATATCTTTTGGTAGCCTATTAAATACTTTAGGTATATCCGGAGATTCCATGTCAATTCTGTATTTAGCAAAAGCTACAATCAAATCATCAACCTGACTGGTTTTATAAAATCTATCAATTAAAAAGTTGTCTATTGCCTATTATTAAAAACATACACAGGCAGTTAATATAAAAACAATGAGGGGTACTATATTTACAAGAATGTAAATTGTCAACTTCAACCAAACATCTGATTGCTCTTTTCTTATGCTAAAATAGCTGCTGAGCGTTAGCTGTCAAAACCCAGAAACACAAAGCGTATCTAACTCACCCTCCGAAGTTCGGAATATATATGTTTGCTAGTTTAATTTTAAGTCTTGAAGCTTACTCTGGTCTTTAAAATTTAGGTTTGCGTCAGGTAATAATCCCAAAAACTTTATTTGAGTTTAAACGGTTATTATTGAGCCATTTACATCAATGCTAAATGCTTGTTTTTTCTAAACTTTATGGAATAAGTGATGTTTTTTCTGGATTCAAAAACAGTTGGTTACTTCCGAACCACATATGAATACCTTTAAGCAATGCTGCATGTTTCCTCCTTAACGAACTATCGCACTGGTCTGATACAGCAACAGAATTATAATCCGCATAAAGAGTGAATCTAGCTTCAAGAGAACAATGCTTTTTAAGTCGTATAGAGTCAATCAAATTGACGTCACTTTTTTTCTCAATCCAATGATTGCAATCCTCATTAATTTTTTGATTTGTATCAGTTGGTCTATGGCGGCATAATATCAGCAATCCGATTAGTATATCGGCAGGTTAGCCGATATTGCCGAAATGCCAATTACATATCGATGTCGATTTCAAATTTGGCCAGAACCAAAAGTCAAAAGATAAACATTTTCTACGCCACTGGCTTTCCTTGGAGCATCTATTGTATTTTTGAACAAAATTTTCAATTTTACTAAATTATTTCATAGAAATTTATTTTGCGATGTCAACTAGAAAATAGATGTCAGGTACTGCGAAATTGTTTTCTGTGTGATGCGTCATTCCTAACTTTTCCGTGATGTAGCTAAATTACACACAACGTGGGAGGAGTGGTGATTTTCTGTAATTCTTCTCCTTTGAAAAAACTTTTTTTGGAAAATGCAAAAAACTGGGAAAAATTGTAATTTGTGACTTTAAATATAACCTCTCTTCAGAAGGGACAACCCAAATAACCCGTCTTGTACAGCTAATAGATATACTTCATTGTCAGCATATTCAGTAATAATTTTCCTTCATAGCAATTATCACTGATTTTATACACATGCAATCCATACACACAATCCAGATGCGATCTCGCTGCTCTGCTACTCAACCAATTCTTTTTATCACATCTTCTCAGAGTTGTACCTTATAGATTATCTCGGCACCAGCAACCAACAAAGCAAGCTGCAGCACTGACTTGCAGCTGGCGTTTGGCGTGTCATTGAGTCATAGCGGAATGAACTATTTGCACACTAGGAACTACCTAGTCAACAAGTTGACATTTTGTTGTTTTTTTATATAGGTATTTTAAGTAATAACCCTGGCATACATTTGCCCTTAACACTTGTAGAAAATGTGTTCGGCAAGCGTCTCTGGTCTGCTCAACAGCTACAGTCGCGGTGTTCGTATGTGTCCTGCATGATTCGTGGTCTGTGGTGGGCGCTCTGATGTGTGTGAAGAATCATGCTTTCAGATATTGAGAGGCGCCGCGACGTTGCCAGATGAACAGTCCTACGGTTAGGGAAAGGCTGGTATGGACTAATTGTATGGACCTGTTTGGCCGACTTGGTCCGTTTAACTTCTCTGTTATACGTATTCGTAACTAACTTTTTTCTTAGAAGGTCTAACCTAAACATGTTATTTTCCTCCGTACAACCAAAGACAGCCAAGGTGAGGCAACTGTTTCGTGCCTTTTTTGACAACTCATCAGCATGATCTAGGCTTGGGCTCTAGAACAGCGAAAGAAAGTGTAACAACTCTCTCTATCCAGGATATAAGAAAAAAGAGGAGATAAGGTTCTTTTTGTTTATCGAAAATATAATAGCAATTATCGCTTACCTTATTTGTATTCATGTCAAAAGTTGTACTGAAAAGGAACGCGTAGTGGATACCGTCCTAGTATGACACGGTAATAGCCAGAAAAGATTTGTATAACTATATCATTTACCAGATGTTGTTTATTCCCTGGCCTATAACTTCTTGGAAAAAACGTCAAAGCATACATGGGATAATTTCTCACCTGGCATATCTGATAGCTTCTATCCAGTTGTTGCAGTTCATTTCATTTAGCGCCCTGAACTCGTATTGTCTTACATTCTCTCTTCTATAGGTTATCTCAAAGCGGAACTGAAAGAAATATACTGTGTCAATCGATTTTACACTTTCATCGCAGCATATCCATTAAAACACAGCCGCACCAATCCTGTCGATGTGAGGGCATCCCGTAACACGCAGCCATTTTATTATGTAAAATATTGGGCCAAGAAATAGGGAGACTTTGTACAGGGTGTCCTCAAAGTTGGAACTTTCCTTTATGCGGCGTATAGATCTTTTAAGAAATGAGCGGTTTTTTGTAGTTTTTTTTTATACTCTAACTACCACGAAGGCCTAAGGTCTAAACACCCATTGGGTACCGTGGGGCTATAGGGGGATACAGGGGAAAGGGGGAACGCCACACGGACTCTGGCGAGAGAACACGTGTGCATGCAAAATGCACACATTCTGGCTCCGCCTACGAGATCCGCCGGGTGGTACCTCTACGTTCGACAGTCAGAGACCATCTACCACCTAGTAATATAGTCTTAAGATTACCGGGATGTTAGACTTCGCAAAATAAATCAAATCTAAACAAAACCTATCAGATTCCAGTACATCAGCCGAATCAGACGTGAATACGTACGATGCGCATCAGTACTCAATCTAGGCTTTGGTCGCGTTGCTAAAAAAACCCTTAGATACTGGATCTGAAAGACAAAACAAAAACGACACGCTCATACAGCAATATTGGAGTTGTCCGTATTATTTTAATTCACGGTGAGTGTCTTCGAAATGCTACAGAGGCTTTGCGAGTCTATACAGGTCGTTTTTGAAGATCCTTCGTGATTTCTTTTTCGTTTGGGGCGAAATAGAATGTGCAGCGAAATTGAGCTGAACACGATTGACGAACTACGTGTGCAAATTTAGCAACCTGCTGCATTCATCCGGGAAAGACAGTCCGTTGCTTGACTACGTCGAGCACATAAATGTGTCTTTGAATCTGCCACAGATAACTATGAAAAATACTTACAAATAACAGAGCTGTACTTGAAATTTCTTTCCGATGAACGGGGGTTACTTTTACATAATATATGTTTTTTTATTTTTTTGCTCTTGTTTTACCACACATTAGCTTTCTTAATACAAACGTAGTTATTTATGCAAGCAAAACTCCCAACTTTCAGGATACCGCCATTTTGATAAACACGTTTCGTCGAAAAATCTTGAATTCCGTCGATCCTATGGAAGAAGGTAATAGAAATAATTTTGTAGGGGAATAAATTATTAATTAATTATCATTTCACTTCCAGAAAACGTAAAGTTAAGGGGTTACGAAAAATCAAAGAAGATAGGTACATGTTATGATATTTCTGCTTATAATGGCTAGACTAAGAATGTAACAGTGTAAAACACTACTGTCTTTGTAGAAAATAAAGTTGGCCACAAAAAGGTGTATTGTCGGCACCTTGACGGTTTCTTGAAGTATAAAGAAGGAAAATTGAAAATTCGCATCTAAACAGAACTATATATTCTGCACGCTACGTACGTCCTATATGTAACTCCGATAAATTATTTTACGAGGAAGTAACTTTATAATTTTCTTGGAAACACGCAAAAAACAGTATAGTTATTACGAAAGAATTTTCAAAAATCCTTGTGTATGTTCGATATAGATGAAGATCCGTTTCCTAGGTGAATATTGTTCATAGAATCCGTTACCAGTTTGGCACTAGGACCATGTGCAGGTATAAGGACACATTTTTTACTTCAAACTCAACCGTATGATGCTTCAGAATATTTTATGGGTATATTTGAATTCAGCGTCATGAATAACTTTAGTATACTGGGTGATGTTCATTTTTAGCTACGAATAACAAGAATGAAAAATTTGCATCGCAAAACTGCACTATCACTATGAGAGACATGAAATCCTTGCGTATGTGTCATATCTTAAAATCTGCCTCGGAGATGAATTACAGAGTAATATTTGATCAGGACATAGTAATAAACACAAGGGTTGAAGTTAAATAAAACCTTTCAAAAAGGCCTTACCTGTTGCCTTTGCCTGACTTTCATTGACTTGGAAGCTACAACCGTGGTTATGAGCCTTTCGCAGTAACATCCTTCTAACAAGAGAAGGCCGGCTGGCCTCAGGCTATTTTTCGAGTCGTAGTAGAAGAGAAGATTCTGAAAAGAACATAATTAAAGTTAGTATATGGAAAGAAACAGCTGTTGTGATGTTTTTTGAATGTCTGTATGTCCTTCTGTCTGTCTGTTAATATTTGGCCCATTTATAACCTGGAAAGTACCGTGCGGATTTTGATTCGTATTTACACAGGTTTACTACTAAACCAATGACGAAAAAGCTTTAGGGTTTTCGAAAATCAGTCCAGTGGCGATGAGAATACAGGCAAAAGACTGTGAAAAAATCCTTTTAGAACCTGTTTTTTGCTATTTCAGAGGGTCTTGACCATTTTATATGTTCGATGGATGACTGCAACGCCTTGCTGGATAGTAGATCGCCCAGGATAGCCATAGCATCATTAGCTGATGGTTGATAATGCGTGGGGACTATGAACTCATTGTACAGGCCTGTTGGACTGACCTGATGAATTTAATCGTTTTGTTATACATGCTCGTTAGCTTGTACATCACGAAAAATCGTCGATCATCCCCGTTGGTCAAAATGTCTAATTTTGATGAAAGTTATATACGCGCCAAGGATTTGCGAACAGACCGACAGACAGACCGACCGACGGAACTGAGAGACATGGTTCTTCGTTATATACGTATCATGTCACAATCAAAAAATAATATCCCAGTTTCGAAATTTATCGCGATTACAGCATTTTCTGCCAGAAGGCGTGCGAAGTTAAAAAAATAAGACTTTTCAAATAGATCATGAGTCAAGAGAGATATAAGGAAATTTGCAGACTTTTACATTTTAATAATAACGTTTAATGATCAAAACTAGCTTAGTGCCTGAAGTAACATATGAGGCGTCTCACTGCAAAAGGGCCTATATCCCCTTCCACTAATTTTCCACAATTGGCGAAAAACTCTTCTAACTAAGTTAAAAGTTGTAACGGCTATAATTTTGTTTTGAACCGTTCCTAATGGGTTATAAAGCAAATACAAGCAACAAAAATAATCGTGGAGTGAGTAAAGCGGATGTAATTTAGCTATAGAGTTTGGATATAGAACCATTTGCCGTAACAAAGTGGATTAAGGAACTTTTGCTCCAGCTGTATAAGGATATAGGCTGACGCAATAACACACTTATGGACGATTCTACCGTCCCGCTATAAACTTATTCCTGGAATAATCCCCATAATATATATTGTTGAGACAATTTTCAACTTAGAATTTATTTTAGGAATGAGCTTATTACGTGGTGGTAGATCCGGCACATAGATGGAATAAACAAGCAAACATTTATTTCCCTTAAAAAAAAAATACATATGTCTACAAGAAATCAAAACTAAGATTCTTTAAGATCAACTCAATGCATTTTGAGAAAATATAATAAGTATTATACCCGCTCAACGAGATGTTCATGTTGATGTCCTTCACAGAACTCATTAACTTCTTCTTCGAGGTCTTCATCAGTTTCGTTTGTTGCTGCTGTATGGCTAGCTGTCACATCGGCCGTGATTCCCAACACATTTTTGTAGAAGGAGCATTCTTCCATGGTGTCCCAGGTCTCGCCGAAGTGCTTTTTCAAAAGGTTTTTAACATCTTGGACCTTAGCTGCTTTCAATGCAACTCCCATTGGTATTTCATCAGGCAATGGGATTGATTTTATTTTGACACCATTTTTAACAACCAATTTGCTATTAGTTAAATCACTGCTGTAAGATACTTCACCCCTAACCAATATATTTTGTTGTTTGGATTTAGTGAGGATGAAACGCTTTGCTTCGTTAAACTTGAAGTGCCACGATGTAGTTTTTTTATAGTAAGTCCCTACTAAAGTTTTCCAGTCGTAAACCTTCAAGTCAGTGCCAAGCTTAAAAAGTGTGGAATGCTCTGAAAAAACTGTTTCATATTCTGATGGTTGTATTATTACTGGTAACTTACGCAGTTTTTTCTCTATGGAAGTAAACACACGATCTGCTGGCAAAAACGAGTGTCCAGTGATATGGAAAATCCTGTGTATTTCCTGAATGTTTGGAGGTGCGACTCGTGCTAAGAAGTAGCTCAGCATCCCAATCATAACTGAGTTGCGGTTTTGCCCACCGCATCCATCGGCGCAAAATCTAATGACTGAGTAAGATGTCAAGTCAAGGAGTGACAATTGATGGAAAACCGCTGAGGCAATTTCATTAGCACCCTTTCTATGTTCATGTTCCATCCATGTATAACAATATACATTTTCCGGAGTTAAAGAGTCTTTTGAGCTTCCTTTTACGATTGAGAAATTGTATATATACATTTGCCTGCTATAGTAGGCGGTCTGATCCTGAACCTTAGGTAGAACCAGATTCTTCTGGCAGTCAAAACTCAGTGTTAAGAGATCTTCTCTTTTTCTTGAAGTTTTCTGAAAAACACTGTATCGCATTCTGTGAAATGTAAGTTCACTCATTATTTTACTTTTATTCTGCGGACTGGCCTCATTTTTTATTTTAGATTTTAGTTCGATATACAGAGAGCAGGCATCGGTGATAGGCGTGCCAAACCCAATGTTGTACTGCGTGGTAAAAATTTTGGAAAAACGTTTTCTTCGATTTCAGTAATTCATCACCCTGTTCATTGTTGTACATGCGATATAATTTGTTTATACTTAAGTTTCCTGGCAAGCATCGTCGATGCACGGACTTACCTCGAGAAAAGTGGCTTTCACAACATTTTAATTTTTCTATGAATGTTTTAATAGCGGCCTTTTTCTTGTCATAAAGAGGATTTGGCCTCGCCCCACCTCTCTTGTCAACCGGCATTCTTCCCGTGTTCAGAAATTTCCTAGCTAAATTCTGAATTCTCTTACGTGATACTTGAAGGACGTTGACGAAGGTTTGTTAACAAACACGTATACAAAACTTTTCTGTACAGGACACTCTAATGTAGTAATTTGTACTAACCTTCTTCGTAGAGGTAAGTTTCTTTTTTGGACGTGGTCTTTTTGCACTTGTTACCATCACGTTTAATGATAAACGCATCTTGGGAGTTCTTTGCGCGCGTAGAGTAAAAATTCTCATGGAATTCTTTGATGTCTCTCATTGTTAACTTTCTGCACTTGAAGGACTTGTTAAGGTGGCCGCAACAAGGATATTCTGGTGGTCCTGGAGGATCATATCTACAAAAAATTAACTTGATAGCTCGCAATAGAAAGTATGCAATATTGTTAGGCGTGGTCTGGAGACCAAAAGGCCTACCGGGTATCAAGGCAAGGGCACTCGACATTAAATGGTGAAAAAGGTACTTCTCAAAATATTGAAAACGAAAAAAAAATTAAATACACAACTTTTTTACTTGCTGATTCGCTATATCTGTCATGATAAGGATAAGGTACCTACCTTTTAGATTTTGCAACGTTCCTTTTCCATTTACTAGGATCTCTAGTACTCCGCCTAGCTTTTCCCGGTTCCGATAGGGTAATACTCTCGTTCATAGTCAACAAACTGAAGAAGTTTTATTACAATCCTATACTTTACAATACAAACAACAATCTCCTTTCGATGCTAAATTCTAATAAACGTAAAACCCACGGACTTGATGAAACTCGAAGCCGCATGACAGAATTCTAGTGGTTTGATTGGCTTGTTGGATATAGGCCTGTTTGACGCGTTGATGATCGTAAATATAGAACCTTTTGCCGCAACACCCTATATTTCATCGTAGTTTTATATGGGATAAAGACACCTTTGACATATGAATACTTGACCAGTTGATGCGGCTACAAGGATACAGATATCATAACCGCCTTTTGCTCACTTTTTACCAAAAATGGATATAGGCCCTTTTGCTGCGACACGCCTCATATATGATACGCACCGGTTTTTATTAAGAAAACAATTAATTGTAACTTTAGTAATACTGTTTTGTATCGAATGTAACTGAAACGTGTTTCTACTATGAGTAGATTTTATTATCAATCTAACAACAAAGTCAGGGATAAAAGGTCAAATAAGAAAATGGTGTAAAATGGAATCTTACCTGATAAAGGACGAACCACTTTAGTCGCCACTTGCTGTTATCTGCAGATCTTTTGTGCAAATATCCCGCTTGACTGTGATCGAAGCGGGCTCTCTCTGATAGCACGATAAGCTGGTTCTCGTTGACACGGATCTGTCTTTGCATATTTAAACTCAGCATTGTTGCTGCGGAACCGTATATTCCAAACTGAAACAATGTTTGTCCAGCTTAAATAAATACCAAAGAATACATAATACTGAATGACAAGATTTCTAATTGGTAGAACCATGTTAAAATTACAATTAATAGTACTGATCTTATGGGTGTTTAACAGGCCTTAGTTCTTTTGAAAGCTTATTGTATTGACAAGTCTGATATTCACTAATAACTTTGAATACAATGATTGCTAAAAATTGTATAGTTTATTCTGTCCTCAAGGTTCGGACTCCCCGAAATATCTATCCTAGTTCAAAAAAATGCGAACGTGTTTTCGAATTCGCAGACGACATATCCCCCGCTATTTAATTTTCAATCGCCGATACACCCTCTAGAAAAGACGGGCATTTTCGATAAGAATCATCGTACCCTTCCGCCCCTTCCGCTCTTCAATTTTCAGTCTGCGATAGTGACGGGCGCCACCTTAGATCATTTATTTAAACGGAGCGGTGGGTCGGATGACACCTCAATTTGAATCTCCTTATAAGTAATTTACAAATCTAGAATATAAATTCACTGTCCTTCAAAATGGAGGACCGGCAAACTATCAATGTTGAATGTTTACGTACATTGAATCGCTTACATCTCAACAACTAATCCTCAAAATGCTATTGTCATTATATCAATACTCATCGCTTGGCAGGTCTATCTGAATATACGTAGTGTTTATTTGAAAACGTCTCACCACGGACTTATCGAAAACCACTGATTAAGAGAAAAAACGCCGAGACACGTCAAAAGATTTGTTAAGAGGGTCAACTTTTTAACCAACAACTACTTCACTTTCGTCGCCTTAAAAATAACAAGGGGTGTCGTAATAGCTTGTTTGATAGGTATTTCGAAGTTGTTAATTTTGACGTTTATTTTTTAAAATCAGTAGGTTTGTTTTTAAGAAAATTAGAAAAATCTTTATTCATCTTAATTTGTTCAGAAAGAAAACAAAGACACACGAAAATATCACTTTCTATTTCAATAAGTATTCAAAACGTTGTTCAAATTCCTGACGGACATTTTCAAAAACATGTTGTGGGACATCATGGCAGCTGTCGATGATGCGTTGACGAAGTTCATCCAAACTTTGAGGTTGGGGAGTAAGCATAATAGATTTCAAATAGCCCCAAACAAAAAAGTCTAACTGCGTCAAATCAGGACATATGGCAGGCCATTCTATAGACCCTCTACGCCCTATCCATTTATCTGGAAACTCGTCGTCTAGCCATTGCCGAATTGGAAGAAGATAGTGAGGAGGAGCGCCATCTTGCTGGAAATATATTTCAGCCTCATCATGTATAGGCTTTCCATCCCCTTCGAATTGGTTTTCAATGACTTAAGTGATAAGCGGATTGATGGTATTTTTCAACATACCTGTATCCAAATAAATGTCTTCATTCAAATTTCCATTAATAAACAATGACCCACCCTTTTTTGGAGGTACTGGGTATGCCCTTCTACAAAAAAATAAGGATTTTCATTGCTCTAAGACCAGCAGTTATGCTTATTAACAAATTCATTTAGATAAAATGTGCATTCATCACTGAAGCAGATATTCTTTACATGAATGGTATTATCATTAATCCCTGCAGTCATTTGTTGACAAAACTCAACTCGCCTATCAAACTCATCTTCGGTTAACTCTTGCAATATTTTGATTTTGAATGGATGAAACTTTTGCCGTTTAGTAACTTTGTATATAGAGCCTAATGGAATACAAGTCGCAGCAACAATTTTGCGTAATGAAGTATTAAGATTCATTCCAAAATGACCCAAAACTTCAACTTGAGCGGCATCATCCAAAACTTTACGAAGATCACATTTTTTATTTGCAACAGATCCAGTTTAAGTAAATTTAGTAACAAGGCCCAAAACATACACATGCGAAGTTATCTTCCCTGGATGTCTGGAGTTTGCCGAGCACAATGATTTTGGGCACCACAGATTAGAATCATTTCTCGTTCGGCTAGTGTGTAAACCATTTTGGAAGTAAAATCTGAAACAATAAATTAATTTTCGCTATTTTAAGATTGTGACAAAGGTAACTGGCAGCAAATTAAATTCTTTTCTTTCCCTTAGCAACAAATAAGGTAAAACAACAAATACAGGTCGCTTAGGATATCTGTGTCGATGGAAAGAATGAGGAAGAAAATTCTAGCTGTTATTTGGTTGTTGCCATGTCTAATCTTCAGAATTGCTGTTTATGTTGGTAGTTTCCGTTTTAAATCATAAACGAATGGTTGATTTGACAAACCCTAACGGGCAAAATTTTGAACATTTTTGTTGAAATAAAAAGTGATATTATCGTGAGGTTTTGTCTTCTATCTGAACAAATTAGGATAATATTTTACTAATTTTCTCGAAAAGGAATAGGCTGATTTTAAAAAATCAAAATACAGAACTTCGAAAGACGTTTCAAACAAGCTATTACTCCTGCCACTTAAAATTTTTAAGTGAATCATCCTGGGGGCCGAGGATGAAAGAGGGTGAAGTAGTTTTTCGTTAAAAAGCTGTCTCTCTTAACAAATCTTTTGACGTGTCTTGGCGTTTTTTCTTTTAATCAGTGGTTTTCGATAAATCCGTTGTAGGAGGTTTTCAAATTAACACTCTGGAATATTCTATGTATAAATTATAGTTGACTTGGAAGCGAAGTAGATAGCCTCTGAAAATTTGAGTTTGTGTCACATAAACGCTGAAAATAAGATATTTGAATAAGTAAAAATGTATAACTAGAAATCAAAAGAAATCAATCTATTTTGCTAGCTGATTAGAACCATGTATTTATTCTTTTTTATATATCGTCAAAGTTTTCAGTGTTCAAGCTAACGCAAAAAAAAATCGACGTCCAGCCCTGGATTTTATAATCATCCGTTTAGTTTTGTGTAATTTTTATTAAACTTTGTAGGCGTGCAAAGTTTCAAGGAAATCGTTTCAATAGTGCCTGAGATATGTGATACTAAATAGTTTGCATGTTTAGAACAGTCCATTAAAACTGAATCTACCTGTATAACTTTTTTTATATTCATGCCTCGAACCATATTACCTATAATTTAATTATGTCTATTTACGTACGAAAGACTCTGTATACTACATTCTACTCATGTTCGTTCCCCAACCAAAATTTTCTGTAACCTTTAAATACAATTGCGCCTCAATTTCACCAATTGCGTGAAATATGTATTATTTTGGTTCGGGTCATCAATTACCTGTAGATTGTTCCAGTAGACATTATCCTGGAGGAATCTAGGCAAAAAATGTCGAGTAGGATTATATTGCCTGATCTGCTAAGCTGGAGGACACCACCATCGTGAGAAATCACGCGGGCATCAAGAAAACGGTCTATGGCAATTTCTCTTGCTAAAATAACATATTTTCCAAGGTGCATATTATCCAGTTGGGAACATCGAAATAAGACAGCACAAGCTGCTCTGGTAGAGTAGAGCTGCTCCGCTTTCGTTATCCACCAAGACAAATCCTACACACCGACTACTAAGAAACATAGGCCTATCTATTTACATTCGTATATTGGTATCCGATTCAAAGCCCAACGCGGAAGTGCTTGCCACGATTCTATAGAAAATTCAAGGCGTTTATGTGTTTTCTTATGTCTTGCTCATTAATATTATTAGGAAATAAGAAAAAATGAAAGTTGAGGCGAGTTTCTGGAAAACAAAAGACGATTGAAACATGTCATCTTATTTTTCTTAAAAAAAAATGTCCGAATAATGTCACATTTTGACAGCTGTCAAATTGACCGTTTTGGATTTACTGACAAAACAATAATTCCTCCATTTTCGGTTTTTCGTTTATATTTTGAAAACCTGTTGACCGATATTAAATCTGAAGCCGGCTTTCGAAACAAATAAGTGTCCTCATTTAACCTTTGCTGTAGGTATAACAGGAGCTGAGATCCCGAATCTGGGACACATTGTATACTCTTCTTGCTAATATACAGGGTGGCCCATCTATGTGTGGACGGAATATTTCCCATAATAAAATACATTTTGGGAAAATCTATTTATGGCATATTATACATGAAATTTGAGGGCACATTTCTAAAATATTGGCAAATATACAGGGTGTCCCAATTTTGACCTATATATATGAAAGTTGTGATTTTTTATGTAAAATGCCTCGATTTTTATTGCATATTTGGGTAAACTAATCCAAAAGAAGAAAATTGATATAACTGACTATGGGGTTTTGATAATTAGCTACTGCGATGTAAGGTGTTCTGTCCAGAAAAACCATTCACTTCGGCAACCCTCTATCCGCCATTTTGGAATTTGGAGGGCGGAATTTTGTATCAAAAAGAACTTACACACAGCTTTTATTTTAATTTGTTACCTTCTAATGCAGCACCCTGTATATCTGTATAGGTTTGGATTCAATTTTTTATAAGCTTTTTTCTATAAGGTTAAAATCACTAGATTTTGAGTTATTAAGGTTTCAATAGAACAACACATCAAAATTAAGGAAAAAAAATCACATCATCCATGATGATTATGTATCAAGTATCAAAAACAGCTTATAAAAAATTGAATCCAAACTTGCACAAATATACAGGGTGATGCAGCTGAAATTTTTGAGGAAAAAGCTGAGGTATGTAAGTTTGTTTGATACAAAGTTCAGCGAAATGGGTTTTTTCTAGACCAAACACCTTATATCTCAGTAGCTAATTACCAAAACCCCATAGTATATTACATCAATTTTCTTCCTTTAAATTGGTTTATCCAAATATGCAATAAAATTTGAAGCGCTTATTTAAAAAATCACAACTTTGATATGTAGGTTGAAATTGGGACACCCTGTATAATCACCAATATTTCAGCAATATGCCCTTGAATGTCATGTATAACATCCCGTAAATAGATTTTCCCAAAATGTATTTGTTTATGAGTAATATTCCATCCACACATGGATGGGCCACCCTGTATACTCGGCGACATTAGAAGTGTAACATCCAGAAAGAAATAATTTCAATAACTTGTTTTTTTGGCAACATAATGACTATATTTAAAGCAAGCTAGTAGATGTCTTATGGGGATTCGATCTCAGTAGTTCCAAAATCCGCCACCAGAGGCGCTGGCGTCGCGCGCCATTGACAGGTTGTTGGACGGAATCTGTAATCGAAATTCATGAGTTGGGGATTCCGCCGCTAGATGGCGCTGTCAAACCAAACGGAATCTGTGTGTCATTGGACACCTGTCATGCGTCATTGGGCATCTCACGCATAGATGGCGTTAAAACGTCATCTGTCATACGTCATTGGACACCTGTCATTGATGGGTTGGGCATCTCGCGCATAGATGGCGCCGATTTGTTTGGCGGTGTACAAACCTAACGGAATCTATGTGTCATTGGACACCTGTCATTGATGGGTTGGGCATCTCGCGCATAGATGGCGCCGATTTGTTTGGCGCTGTACAAACCAAACGGAATCTATGTGTCATTGGACAGCTGCCATTGATGGGTTGGGCATCTCGCGCATAGATGGCGCCGATGTGGGGCAACGTGTATACAGGGGTGCATCGAAAAATAGCGGATCGATGGACCGACGGTATATCGTTAAATCGTATATAGCAAGGCGCGACCTAAATAGCGTGGTGGGCTCCTCTGGTCGGTCGGTCGGTCAGAATGTCTCATAACCTGTATGCGATGTACTGTTATTATTATACAGGATGATACCGTTCAAAATGAAAATAGTATAGACATTCTGACAATTATTTCGCAAACCAGAGGTATTTTCAATAAAACTACAATAATACGTTTAATATTTTATTGAAAATAGAAAAAAACTACATAGGTAATATGATATTTGAAAACCAGTGGCGTAGACGTTCAACATTTCTCTGGGTACAGGAAAATTGTCCGTTGGTGTGGCATGGATTGGAATCAGCAACAAAGTTTCCAGTAGCACACGGTGTACCATCATACTTGCAAACATCAATAATGTTGGGAAAAACACCAAAAATGTGACATTTCTTGAGTAAAAAGTTTGCTTTCTGTTCTCCACGAACGTAGACATAGTCAGCCGCATATATCACCTTATTTTTAATTATTTCATTTAACTTGGAATATTTAACGTCGCCGGAAGAATATTTAAGCCCATGGAAATTCTTCTTCAAGTAAGCGACAGTTTTCTTGTCTTTAGTATTTAATGTAGAAAAAGGTTGCGGAGGTGTAAAGATGTAATGACTTTTCTTGAAACCAATTTCGATACATAGTTCTTTAGGTACGAATAATCCGTCAACTGTAAAGCCTTGAATGTCAACAAACGCGATCCTCATGATGTCTGATGCGGAACTGAGAGTCCTTCGTTGCTTACGAGATGGTTTTAATAACTTCGGTGAGGGGGAAGTACTCGATTAAGCAGTCATGTATAATGATGCAGTAGGCCTTGGTGTTGGTTGGAAAGCCAGTATCGGCTTCGATATCCAATCTAACATCAACAGTTGATGATTTCATGGTTTCGTCTTGTTTGGAACAGTCAATAACAAACAAAGCGCGATTTTTAAAAGCGGTATAATCTAAAAGACATCTCTTCAGAGGAGAAGAAGAAGTTGTATAGCTGGTTTGAAAGTCGCTATAGTTGAAATGAGCTTCAGTAAAGTGTTTGTTTGCAGTCCAATTGCATACGTTCGTTGGGATAGTATTCACCATTTAAAGATACTCGAATACTAGCAGCATTCACGTGATCAAACAGGGTAGGGTCTGAGGTTGCGACGTCACGTTTACCGGTTTGGAAACATACTATAATGAAACGTGGTCTTTCGATTGCGGTGCTAGTTTTAACTGACCATATTTCTCTTCTCGCATCTGCGGTAATTGCAGGCAGTTCATTCAGATCCCATTTTCTAAATGGTATAAGTATCGGCTTATCAGTTTGAATAGCTTTCAAAAGTTGTTCTTTCACATCATCACTCGGGTAAATATGTTTGATTTTCAGTTCCATGCTT